AGGGATGCTTTCTTATTTGAGTTCCATTAGCATCACAATTAAGTTGTACCAGTGTTTTAAACCAGCATAGTAAGTCAAATTTTGTTTATTGTAAAATGCAGCAACATAAGGATCTGACATATTTGGGTAATGTACCAGTTCATGCAAGTGTAGATAAAAGGAGATTACATTTGAAAAAAACCAAACCCCAAGCCCTGTCACTAACTGAATGAAGAGAATAGTGCAGTGAAATCTGTTGGAAGGTGTGAAGAGCTTATACTTCTCTACTGTAAAAATTGTCTCAGGGAGGATCAAACTTTTTTGGTCTCTTGTCTCACCTGTTTTAGAAGTCTGCAACTGCTGCTGCCTGGGCAGTGAGTAGGGAGTTCTAGTGTAGTGAAACTATACTACCCAGAGTTCATTAGATTTGTTTCATGACTATTATTTTTGAGCCTTCTTAACACCATAGTTATTAGGAGGATGGAGTAATTGCCACGTGTACAATTGTGGGCTGTTTTGTGGTACCATTAAAGCAATTTGATCCAAATCCCGGCAGAAGAGGTTCCCTCAGAAATGAGGGCATTATACTTGATTAGGAAGATTTCCAAATTGCCCAGCATTGCTCTCTAAGGTAAGTGTGGAGATTTTGTAGTCCGCTTTCAGGACTAAATCAATCTGGTGTGTATTAATGTTTGACTGGTACTGCCCACTTGCAAAGCCCTGTTAGATGAGAATCTGCCCCTCAACTGGCAAAAACAAAATCAGAGTGTGCTAGAACAACAGCAAGAGAGTCACAAATATAGCCATTCTGACCCCAATTTCAGTCAGAGAGGAGGGATATAAATCTGTATTTGCACACGCTCAACTTCAGTGTTGCAAGACTATAGCTCACTGTAAGATATGTAATTTATACTGAAAATGTTTTGGGGTTTTGTGTTGGGTTGGTTGTGTTTGGGTTTTTTCCTTTCTTTTCTTGAGCAAATAAAAGATTAGCAATTAATGAAAAATGTTTGTGCATGTGTATGAATGTACCTGCAATGACATAAGTAGACTCTCCCTCCTACCCTACTCCTACCAAATTGCATTCTGACTTAAAGTCAAACTTAATGGCAACTGCTTAAAGTAGAAGCTACCTGTGGTTTTTCTTTTGTACTAAGTGTGGTCAGGTGATTGAAGGTCAAAAATGATTTTTCTTGCTGACTATTTTTTTTAACCCTTTTGCTGTATCGTTGAAATGGGAAGTGTCTGGAGCTCAGTGAGGATGACATTTATTCTTGGAGGATAGGAAAAGGTTAAAAGTAGAAACAGCTGATGAGGCAGGATGGCTCTGTAGAGAAAGCAAGAGGAAGAGAAATGTGAACATCTGTTAAAGCTATACCAGTGACTATTTTGGCTAAGTTCAGCTTGCAGTTCCTTTTGAATTCCTCCTCCTTCAGTAGATGTTACTGCTAACAGTGACAAATACGATATAGGCCTTTGAAGTATCATTAATTTGGGTAACAGAGAATGTAATAAAGAGGAAAACTGAGCAGTTCAAATTTTATTATTTTTTTAAGTTTTCCCAGTGTTCAATATAACATACACTAAAAATAAAAATGAGATTTTGAAGATCTGATTTGCTATTGCAATTCCTCATGCTCTTCCTGCT